ATCCAGGAAGGGGCATTTATTATAAAACATGATTTCCCTATTAGAATCCTATAGTCATGTTTAAAGTTTAAGCTAACAATCAGAGTTTACAAGTTTTTATAGCCTTAGCTGAATGACAGCAGTTTTTCAAATGGTTTACAGCTTCAGTCTTGAACTATTGATCCTCCATTCCCTTCACTTATACAAGTGTCTCTAGTCCTGCAAAAAACATATTTATTTAATCCCTTATCAGTGAGAGGCTAGGTTACCCATGGGCGCTGCGTTCCCTGTAATAGCAGAACACAACACTATGGAAAGTATAAGTATTGCCGCTCCTAATTGTGCGTTGCATGCCATATAGTGAAGCACATGAAAAGCATGCTTCTTCACGGTCACTTAACGTGTTTGTTTTGCGGTTATGTGAGGCACTGCATGCATTGGTCTTTATTCTTACAGTAGAGAAGTCATTATTATAACTTTTTGTTAATTGGGACATTTAAACTTGCTTTTTTTAATTCCAATCTAAATTTAGTATGAGTAGGAGTCGGAGTCGGCAAACAATGCACTGACTCCGACTCCGACTCCAGGTACCCAAAATTTCCTCCGACTCCTCGACTCCGACTCCACAGCCCTGGAAAATATTGGTCCATTTTACCGACTTGCGAACTTGCACAGACCAGCACTACAGACTGTTATACCTTGGGATCCAGCCTATTTGAGGCAACAGCTTTTGTGCACATATTGAATGCTTTCAATTGTGCCACATCGTTTGTGAGTGTCATATTTTATTTGTTTTACCACATTTTGGAATTAACGTTTGCACTATGATGTTTTCTTTTTTTCTTTCCATGTTAGTGTTTCATGCCCATCTACTAGAGGGTAACTACACTAACCACTAAGTTTGTGATAAGTGGCGCCCTAATTCTGTATTTTAACTTTGTTATTATACGGTTTATTCTGTGCACTGGTTTTTTGAAGGGATACAGGGAGTGTTTTCCCGTTTGTAGTGGCTTGCCTGCACAACTTTTTAACCCAGTCATCTCACTATTTGAATTTGGTTTGATAAAACTAGGTACAAGATCCAGGTTAAAAAGTAATCTCGATCTGAAAATGGATATCTCAATGTGTTAATTGGCTGAAAATTGTGTGTTTGTGTGTGTAATATGAATGAATGGATGCATGTTTTATTTTGCCAAATAAGGATTTCAGATAAGCAAAGAAGAAAGTAACAATAAATAGAATGATCAATTAGCAAGTTTCCAGTGTTTTTAGCTGCTTAATCAATATAATCCTTAAAATATACATAATCCTCTCCCCCTCCCTCTAATTACCTTGAAGGGGTACAGGGGAACGGGCTGGTGACGATCCCTGGTGATCCAGCTGGCTGGTCATTTGGTCTGTACCTCCACAGGCTACAGACCATGCTTCTCCCTCTCGCGAGCGCCGTTATTAGCGAGCGTTGCCGTGGGTTACCATGGCAACGCTCTGATAATATCAGAGCTCACGAGAGACAAACTGGCAGACACGCACAGATTCACGAACATTTCCTTCGGCCTGTGAAGGGACAGTGGTGATCTCCCCTGCCGGCCTTGGCCCATGTTGGCCTGGTTTGCCTGATGGCCAATCCGGGCCTGCATACACATATATATATATATATATATATATATATATATATATATATATATATATATGATGCTAAAATACCAGAGAATTGCAGTATGCACTGATACCTTTTTTATTGGACTAACATAATATATAAAATACCAGAGTATTGCATACTGCATCTTGTCTACTGGACTAATCCAATCTACACTATATATATATATATATATATATATATAAAACAAAAATAATTCCTGCACTCACGCTGATGTCTCCCTTTGTGACCGGGTGCCAACCATATACAGCCAAAGTATACAAAAATATAAATGGATGGTTGCACTCACGGTTTTTGAATAAAAGTCCAAAGTTTATTGTAAAGTCATAACAAACTGCGATCAACGTTTCAGTCCTTCCAAGAGGACTTTCATCAGGATCATAAAAACCTTTTATGATCCTGATGAAAGTCCTCTTGGAAGGACTGAAACGTTGATCGCAGTTTTTTATGACTTTACAATAAACTTTGGACTTTTATTCAAAAACCGTGAGTGCAACCATCCATTTATATTTATATATATATATATATATATATATGTGTGTGTGTATATATATATATATATATATACGAATACCACATTTTAGTGCAACTCCTAGCCTATCTTTATAGGCTCTGTGGGGACAGCTCTAGCTCTATGGGGACAGCCATTTTTAAAGGGACACAATCACACAAAAATAAATTCAGCGCGGAAGCAAAGTGATAATAGTGATAATAGTCCAAAAGCAGCTGGAACCCCAATATGGAGTCTCTCTTTTCCGATCAAAAAATTGGATAATAACAGGGGGGTAGGTGCAGCACTTCAGTAATCCTTGACAAGGTATATGTGAAGAGAACCAGAGAAGGAATAATAGTGTAGTATTTAAAACTGTAGTGGTGATAAGTAAAATAAAAGATGTGCACTCACACTTTCCTGGAGCTTCAATACAGCTCCAGTGTATGTGCCTGGGCGGAATAATCCCCGCCTATGGATCAAGTGCTGAGGCAATTCTTCAAGTTATAGGTGTGGTAGGGGGTATCCTCATAAAAAAACAAACAAATAAAAATTGTATATGGTGTAAGTATGTGCAAGGGTAGATAAAAACTATAAAATGTGCACTCACGTGTAATGGAGCCGTAAAACCTGGCTCCTCTGAAGTGGTATGATCCCCACTCATACAGGTGTAAATGCAAATTCTTCCCTCTGTGTATATGTGGAGATAAACAAACAGAACCACAAAAGTGTACACCGTAAAAAAGGAGTGTAAGCAGAAATAAATAATTTAAGCCTACTCACATGCTAATGAGCAAGCTCCTGTTTGCTCAATCCAAAGTGCTTGGGTGGTATGATCTCCACCAGGGATATAGCTCCAAACAATCCCACAGCAGCAAAGTTAGGTTCAATTAAAAAGTACTTCAATGTTAAAAAAATAGAATAAAAGAAATACAATATGTAATAAAATAGTAATAAAAAAGTTATAAACAATACACTTAACGCGTTTCTCCTTGGATAAGCTTTATCAAAAGTGTTGTTTTTTTTTTTTAAGGGATACTATAGGCACCCTGACCACCACTTGATCTCATTTATATATAATACATTGCAGGGTTAAGACTCCTTCTAGTGGCTGCCTACCAGACAGCCACTAGAGGCACTTCCTGCTGTTTTACAGAGTTTGACGTGGTGAAATGCTGGACTCGGAGATGTGAGTGAAAGAGAAGGTTATTCCGTGCTGCCGGGGGAGGGGGCACACTTTTTTCCCAACACTATAGTGTTCCTTTAACTCCTCATAGGTCAGAAACACAATGTATCTGCCAAAATATATACAGGTAATCAAGAACTAGATCGCATTCAAGAATCCTGATGCCATGTGCAAAGCACCCCCAAAAATGCAATCTGTCACTGATTCTCCCATTGAAATTGTACATGATATCAACAGATATGTTATTTATGACCAAAGAGGATGGCTTCTCCCAAAGAATAAGGGTAAACCTGGAGAGGTTATTAACCTATACATATTAATAACAAAATAATGCATACAAAGGCTATTTTACTTAATGTACTCTTTTTTTTCTTCACCTATTTTGTTAAAAAAAAGTTTTAACTCTGTGGTGTTATGTAGTGCAGGACTTTATTGCCCTTTGACAGCATAGACAGTCGTGAAATAAAAGTACAAGCTGCATTAAATCCCTGCTGGCACTAAGGAACTCCATGTATCACTGGATACCTGAGGGTCCCCTCTATCGGCTGGGGTCACAATTAGTAGCCCCAGACCGTCAGATAAACTATGTGCAGCGTTCAAAGTGAGAGCTAATAATTAATTTAAATACTGCAGCTGATTTTGATTGTGTCCCCATGGTGAAATAGACACCCATGGTCTATCTGTAAGACTGAGAAAAAAATTATTTATTTTTTCTTTTACATTTTATTCATATTTAATATTGTGTTATGTAAACATAAAGAGTATCATATGAAAGACCTCTTTATTTTTTATTTTTTTAAATTGTGGTAGAATGAACACATGTCATAAGTGCCAAAAAGGCCTTGGCCACAAATGCATCACATCTCAAAATGACCTTGATCCTTAATGTGTCAAGTAAATTGTGGCATTAGTCTTAAATAAACAATTCCAAAATGTTACCACTGTTAGGATAATTATCCAAATTACAACACTCTTCCAATAAACAGTCTTCTTGCCATATAATATCTTAAAGGACCAGTTTGGTCCAATATAACAAGTTAATCAAAATTAAGTTGTTATGGTGCCTACAGTTCACTGGCACTGACTTACCTTTCAGGGTTAAACCATTCTCGTACAGTTTAACCCCATAGCCTGAGTTCCAGCTCTCTTCTTCTCTGTCCTTCCTTTTTCTCAAAACCTTTAAATAGGAAGACTCTAGCAGAAGAGGTCAGCTGACATTCTCAGACAATCAATGACTACCATTCATAAAACTGGCTTGAAAAATATGTTTCTGTTCAAACCAAGTTTTATGAATGGGGAGTCACTGATTGTCTGAGAGCATCCGCTGACCACTCATCCAATCTGCAGTGCTGTCTGCTGGGAGTGTTCCTTTAAAAAGAAATTTAGAAAGTAAATTTTGTAACAAATAATAAAAAGGACATACTTGAAAACCAGAGTAATCTGAATGTACCTTTCCTGGTTAAATAATTTGTTATTATTATTATTTTAATACAGTAACCTTATGTTTTTGTCCCTAGATATCTGTCTTTGGTGGAATGTCAAATTTGCAAGAGCTGGCACTTTATTCAAGTGGAATTGAATCTGTTGACAACAATACACTTAAAGGTTTAAGTAAATTAAAAGCTTTAGAAGTATGGAAAAATAAATTGACACATATTCCAAGACCTCTGCCTACAGATTTGGAAATGTTAAAGTTGGGAGACAATTCTATCAGTTTTATTTTTTACGATGATTTTAAAGGTTTGAAGAAACTCAGAGTGCTTGAAATGCAGAATAACCTTATACGCCAATTATCATTCGATGTATTTTCTGAACTTTTGAATGTTGAAGGTGTGATTTTGGAGGGCAATGAGATAGAGACTATATCAGGACAGGCTAGACTTCCGCAGCTGAGATACCTCAACATGGACAATAACAGACTTCAGTTTTTCCCTGAAAACTTTTTTGCGTATTTTTCAAGCTTGCAGTATCTGAGAATGGCAGGCAACCAGCTTTTAAAGATCCCGGGTCACCTGCCCAAGACTCTCCAACACTTAAGATTAGAGAGAAATCACATAAAAAATGTAAAGATCAGAGACATTAAACATCTGGACAATCTTTCAGAGCTGAATCTCTCTGGGAACCAGCTTTCCACTGCAGATAGTGTACAAGTTCTCAGCAATCTGTCCTCATTTGATATCTCCAAGAACCAGATTCAATTTCTGCCTCATAGATTCCCAACCAAGCTACAGAGACTTGATTGCAGTAATAATCAAATCTCTAGGCTAACAGTGCTCAACTTTAAGAACCTACAAAGTCTCAAGCATCTATTCCTGGATAATAATATTGTAAGCCGTATTGATGATAATTCATTTCATTGGTGTGTTCACTTATCCAACCTGGCAATGGAGCAAAATTTATTGACTTCACTCCCACTAGGGTAAGTACTTGTTAAGATCATGTAACTAAAATGGAATGCTTTTCAAAAGATAGCCCAATGTCTTATTATTATATTTATTCAGAGGTTTCAACAGGGTGCACATTTTTCTTAATTTTGTTTTCACTAGCCATTCGAAAGTGTTACTCCAGCAACCACAATGGGAGAGATTTTTAAAAATGTCAGTAGTAGAAATAATAGCAGTCACCATGACAACCAATCAAATCAGCCCACCATTATTCTGGAAACATTTTTATGAATATTCTCTATTGTACCACAGCTCTCATCTTAAACAGATGTCAGTCATTTTTTTCACAAAAACAAAAAACACAGTTAGCAAATTCATAAAAACTAATTAATGCACTAACTCACATTTTACTTAAAGATATTTAGAGAAGGGAACCGCAAACTGTAATGAGGCAACAATTAGATTATCGAATTTTAGGCCACATTTTCCAAATCCGCTGCTTTTACAATTCTGGTCCAAGTGTCAACCTTGTTGTCATTTCACCAGAATTCATGGTAAAGCAAATTAAATCCATAAGAGCAGCTCAAGGGATGCAAAATGTAAAGCAATTAGTTTTAATAATTGAGTAACAAAATGATTAAAACATAATATACAGTCCATGGGGTAGACATCCTGTACATGTGTAAACTATAGGAACAAATGACACACAGTATTTTTCAAAAGACCTTTAAGAGGAGTCAGTGTAAAGTTCCTCATTTGCTATGAGCACTTGCTGAAAGCGGAAGTGAGGTCTGCTTCATAGAGTTGTATTGAAACCAGGTATGGCACTGGTTTCCATACATCTCTATGAGAAACATTGCGGGCGATTCAGATGATTGTTGTGCATATGTCCTGTAAGAAGCACTGGGAAGATTATCACTAGTGATGATCTCCAGAAGGTGGAATGAAGCTTCAGTGAGAACTGAGAAGATAGATTAAAGCTAGGTAAGTTATTTTTCAGAGGGACAAAAAAAACACAAACATTCCAGTGTTAGAAATAAATGTATTCATTTCTAGCATTGTATTGTTTAATTTATAATAGATTGAAACACTGTCCATACTATGATGCCATACGAAAAAGATTAAAGGAATACTCTGGGCACCATAACAATTTAATTGGAGTAAAATTGATATGGAGCCATGAGGTCCCTGGCGCTGGCTTACCTTTAGGAGTTAAGTACCCCCTAACAGTCCAGGATTTAGTGTTAACCCAATTGTGTCTCAGGTGTTTTAAAAAAAAAAAAAATCTCAGCCAATCAGCGACAACCGTGGCCAAGGCTTAAAAGTGCCCGATCACTTTGCCCCCTGTCCTTCCTCTGCTCGGAATCTTAAAATAGGAAGCCTTGGCCACGGTTGTCGCTGATTGGCTGAGAGTGTCAGCTGATGCTCCAAGCCAGTGGTTCCCAACCCAGTCCTCAAGTACCTCCTACCAGTGCAGGATTTAGGGATTACCCAGTTGTGTCTAAAGTGGTTTTCTCTTCTTTTTTTTTTTTAAAAAACACCTGAGACACAATTGGGTTATCCCTAAATCCTGGACTGTTAGGGGGTACTTAAGGACTGGGTTGGGAATCATTGCTCTAAGCCAATCAGTAGATACCCATTCACAAAATGGCTTGAGAGACGTACAATAGGCAATGTAAGCTGGCACAATGGACCTGCTGGCCTCGTAAAAACTTTATTCCAAATTTGTCATGGCGCCTGGAGTGGTCTTATAATGTTAAAATTGTAATCTAATTTCATTAATATTCTGTTATAATTGTATACTTTGTAATTTATTTTATTATGTTATCATTTGTCATTATTAGGCTCCCAGTCACATTAACAAGGTTGGATCTTAAAGGGAACAAAATAGAGTACATTGGAGAATCAGAAGTGAAAGGTTTAAGAAAACTCCAAGTTCTGAACCTTCGAAATAACAAGATTTCCTTGCTAGACCATCAAGTGTTAGAATGTCTGCCACGTCTCCGGCACTTGTATCTTGAAGGGAACCCCTGGAATTGCACATGCAAGCTTCTCATGGTCAAAAGATTTTTAATTGATAAAGGAACTGATATAAAAGGAGGGCAATGTGCCGAGCCTAGCATATCTCGTGGAGAAAGCTGGATGTCCTCTGACACCATTTTAAGACACTGTGAAAACACATTTAGCAAAAGTAAAGAAAACAAGAAAAAGCTCAAAATAGATGAATTCTCTAATACGAAAAAGCAAATTGAAGATGAGAATGATGATGATTATGATTATGACATAGAATAATGATTTAACCTTACCTGTAAGAGTTACCATTGGTTTTGTTTTTGTTTTTGTTTTTTTAGGAGAAATCCATTATTTATTAGTTAAGCTTCAGGTAGTTCATTTATATTTAAACTATATACTTATTGATTGACTAGGAATCCTGGAGACATATTTTATATATGTGATATGCAATGCTGTATTGTAGGGTCTATATATTAATTGTAAAGTATCTATGTTTGCAGTCGAATGTGTTAATGTAACTGTTAGTTTATTTTCACAACACAATATTGTTTCTTGTAACGTGTATTTTTCTTTAGATATACTCACATTATTATAGTTTTGTGGGGTAATCGGGGCAGATCAGTGATGCAAATTGTGCCACTGACACCACCCAAATGGGAGGAGATGTCCAGAAAGGGGGCAGTTCCACTCAGAGAATTGGCAGGTTAGCCTGGCATGAATACTCACCATGTTGCCTGCCAATCAAGCAAGCTGACCCACTACAGTTTCACTGCTCCCTGCAAGATTCTATTGCAATAAACATATCAAGAGTGCTTCTAATGATTAGCTCACACTGTGCTTTCTTGGGACAGTTCCCTGGTTTCCACAATCGTAGGAAACCAGGAACAAGATTCAGGAGGGTGGGACAGGACCCTGAAATCAAGACTGTGCCGCTGAAATTAGGAATATTGGGAAGTATGCAATATGTCAACATGTTCATGAGGATCACTCTCATTTTCTGAACTTTTGAATATATGCTAGGATTATGTATGTGCTCTAATAAATTTAAATTCCAGGCTTATATTATATTTATGCTGTAATAACCTGCAGGAACACTCTTTAACTCCATAACGAATACAAAAACACAACAACAAAACATGCATGTTTCGGAATGGAATATATTATGCTTTGCTTCTTTGCTTTTTATTTGTTGCTTTTTTTTAGCCTGAACTGTCACTTTTAAATATAGAAAACAAAGAAAGATGATCCAGCGCTGTCTCCAAGGGCAACAAAACTCTGTGACTTGGACACCTTAACAATCCAAGATGATCCGAAAGAATAAAAACGAAGGGAAAAAAAACAGGTTGCGCCAAATAGTAATATGGGTACAAATAAACAATATTGTCTAATGTATACTTAAAACTGACTTAAAGGGACAATACAGAACAACTTCTGTTTATTGAATTTTCAGAGAAATGCAGTGTTTACATTACAGCGTAGTGATAACTTCACTGGCCACTCCTCAGATGGCTGTTAAAGATCCTTCCTGGGTCATGGCAGCCTAAAATGCATCCAAACATTCAGTATCTCCTCCCTCTGCATGCAGACACTGAACTTTCCTCATAGAGATTCATTGATTCAATTCATCTCTATAAGGAGATGCTGATTGGCCAGGCTCTGCCCCTGATCTGCCTCTTTGTCGGTCTCAGCCAAATCTATGGGGAAGCACTGTGATTGGATCAGGCTACAACATCTGATGATGTCAGCAGACTGCTTTTTTTTTTTAGGCAAACAGCATGCAGATATACAGCTTCTGGCTTGAATTCAGTAAGATTTTGCTATATTTATGGAGGCATGAGGGGCCCAGGGGGGCTAGATGGTGGTTTTAACACTATAGGGTCAGGAATACATGTTTGTGTTCCTGACCCTATAGTAATCCTTTAAGATTGGTTTGAAAATTGTACAGTATAGTCCCAAAATAGTATTTGTGATGTAGAAGGAATCTTGGTCCTTCTACATCACTCCTCAGATGGCTGTTAAAGATCCTTCCTGGATCATGGCAGCCTAAAATGCATCCAAACATTCAGTATCTCCTCCCTCTGCATGCAGACACTGAACTTTCCTCATAGAGATTCATTGATTCAATTCATCTCTATAAGGAGATGCTGATTGGCCAGGCTCTGCCCCTGATCTGCCTCTTTGTCACTCTCAGCCAAATCTATGGGGAAGCACTGTGATTGGATCAGGCTACAACATCTGATGATGTCAGCAGACTGCTTTTTTTTTTAGGCAAACAGCATGCAGATATACAGCTTCTGGCTTGAATTCAGTAAGATTTTGCTATATTTATGGAGGCATGAGGGGCCCAGGGGGGCTAGATGGTGGTTTTAACACTATAGGGTCAGGAATACATGTTTGTGTTCCTGACTGAAATGGAAAAATCAATTAAAGTATTGATTATTTCTTTGTGTATCTGCCCCTGGCCAAATCAATGAAACAATGCGTGCACGCTCCCTGAAGTAATTCACACCAGACACAGGTTCCAGGTTGTTGAATAACTTGAGGAATGTTTATTCCGAGGGGCCGGCAGGTCCCTTTTAAAGCAAAGTTACATCATGAGCATTGTCAGAGATAACATGGAATAATACATCAATAATTGGTTAGGTGTTAAGTGGTTGCTCTAATGCTCTGCCTACTATAGGTGATGTCACCGGGGCCATGAGGGTCTCCCACGGTTTCCCGGCGCCATCTTGTTGCACGAGGTAGTTAGTTGGTGTTATGAAGGGAGGGAGGG